CCATCTGTCAGCCTTTCAGAGGAAAATAAAGGAAAAGCAGTAAGCGTGCAGTTATCTTCTCCTTTGCTGGAGAGCCCAGAGGCCAGAGAAGAGGCTTCTCTTCCCTGGTTTGTTTCTCGAGACGGAAATGACACATTTGTTTTCCCACACTGGTGACACCGTGCATTGCTCTCTCATCCTACTCACTCTCCCCCTGGCACGCAGGGATGTAGGCTTCCAGGCTGGGACCTGAGTGAGAAGGCTCTGCTCCCGTGGTTATGAGTTTAGTGAGCTGCAGGAGAAGAAAAGAGAGAGGAGGGGATTCTGAAATCTCTCCACAGATGCGGAGGCTTGCTCCTGCCCCTATGGGCACTCCTGGAACTCCTGCTCACTTTCAATCAAGCAAGAGCTCTTCTCTCTCCTTCTCCCCGCTACCCTTGCACATTTTCGTAACTTTGCAAAAGTTTTAACCAACAACATCTTTAACCTACTGCAGGCAGGGCTTGGGAGCCACATGAGGGAAACTGAGGGGAACCATACTCTTATCAGCACACCAGCCCCGTGACCAATGAGTAGGGAGCTGGACTATCCTCCCCTACCCACCACCCCAAAAGGGGTGTGGGAATGTCTCTCCCCTGGCATTACGTTTTGAAAGATGTGTCTGGCGAGACAGCTAGCTGACTTTGGCAGGCGCTACCGGCAGCGTGATAATTAATTAAAGCACAGCTGAGAAAACTGTAGTGCAGGCTCGCTCTGAAGCTAGATCTGCAGCCCACTACTAGAGCAGGGCATCCTGCCCTAGCCTGTGATTCTTTATCTGAAGAAGAAGGCAGCTTGCATTTTGCATTGGAAGTAAGACAGCAGGATGAAGAGGAATGAATCCTTGTGCTAATCAGAGAGGGGACCTTGTTTGCAAGATAAGGTAACCTGGGAATAGAACATCAAATCATGCCACAGCAAAGGATAATCAAGACAAGGCAGCTAAAGGCTGTTTTACACAATGAGGACCCCCTCCTGCTGTATCCTGTGTCACACTGAAGACTGACGGAGCCTCTCTGCGAAACAGAGGAATGAGCAGGAGGAACAGGTGCCCTGCCTATTGCAGTCAGAGCTGCAGTTACTTCACAGCTCCCTGTATTTCTGTGCCTTCACATGAGCTCTTCCAGGTACCAAAACCCATAAAGCCGCATGGATTGTGTTCCTTAGCAGACACCCAGGTGGCTCGTGCTGTCATCTTTCCCAGTGCTGCACATTAGGGAGATTCAGTATAACCGTGACGTGCAGACTTGCCTGCAGCCGTAGGTATCACCTGCCTGCATGCCCCTACGGACATGTACCAGTGCCCCATGCTCACTGCCAGCAACAGCAGGAATACTGTGCCACAAAAAGGTCTTGTAGATCAGTGTTGTTGGGACAGGGTTGCTACAGGTCACCCTCAAGTCCCTGGATGCTTTGATGCTCCTTACTCAGAGGTTTTTGCTCCTTACCCAGAGTAAATCAAAGACGCTCAGCCCAGGACAAGAGGACTTCCACTACATATGAAGCTGCTCCTGTAGCCCTATTAGTCATTATGGACACAAGCAGAGAAGAGTAATGTTTTATCCCCAAATGGGGTTTCATTAAAAATTTATGTTTTTCACAAAAAGAGATTTTAAAAAAAACCTTTTCACAGATATTTTTTAACAAACTGAAATTAGGAGAAAAGGATTCCTTTTTTGTTTGCTTGAACTTCTTCACACAGAAGTCACCCAAAAGTTTGCTCTGGATTTTTGTACGTAATTTCACTTTTTCTCTTCTTGGGGAGGATTTTCAATATTTATAGAGGGAAAAAAAATATTCTTACTTACTTGCTTTTCCTAGTCAGAAAGAAGAGGAGAACATTGCTTTTGCTTGTTTCCAAGCAGATACTTTGTTGGGAGACCTCTCCTCCTCGAAGACCTCTCCTCCTGGAAGACCTCTCAGATAGTTTATATGAATGGCACTAAAGCAGCGCAGGAATTTTCAAAGTTACTTAGTCTCCCTCTCCATCTCTAGCTCTCCTCCCCTTTTCCCCTGTGTTTCAAATTCTCTTTGGAGCACTGCTGTGCAAATGAAATTTTGGGGTTGATTCTCCTCTTGTTTGCTGTTGTGTGAGACCAGTGAATTCACTTGGGGTTTAGCTCAGCTGTGCCACACAAACCAATGCTGCCCACATTGCGCTGGAGATGCTTGTGGGCTTGTTTTAACTTTAACCTTCAGCATGGTCTGTGGGTGCAAGTACCAGCCTAGTTATGCAACTCTTGTCTCCATTCCTCCAGGCTTCCCCCTCCTCCTTCTTAGAAATAATGCATTTTAGCTCTCACTCTATTTATTACCTTCCACCCACTTTGGAATCCCCAAGTACTATGAACCAGGCTCTGTTTTACAGATGGAGCTTTTGTTTCCCCTATAGGATTATGTATTTTACATAGGAAGTGAAACTCAAGTCCAGTTCATGATTACACTGAAGCAACATTGAATTGATGCCACGAAGCTTCTTCTCCATCCAATCATGATTATCTCCAAAGGAGAGAAAGTTTCTAAACACTGGAAAATGTGCTGTGTCAGCCTGGTGCAACTGCACATTGTTTAGTGTTCAGGGACGCGTTCTGCCTTTGTGAAGCCCCATCTATTTTAGATTACTTTGCAGATGGGTTTACAACAGATTAGGCAACTTGTTCAAAAGCCTAGAAACTAGAATTATTCCATCCATCCCCCCCCCCCCCCCCCGCTGGTCTTTCATCACTTGAAAGTTTACTGTTTTCTTTGTAATTTTTCTTTTTTTTGTTTTAGATGGAGACTTTGACTAACTCTTGCAGATTATGTCTTAAAATGAGGCATGGACATGAGAAGGAACAAAAAGTTTTGCAAACAAGCATTTTCTGTGTAGCAGATTTTGAGTCATTTCCTTGCTATAGATGGGATTCATGATCTGCATTGGGAACAAACTGAAAGTCTGGTTGCAGCCTGTGCATTTGCAGAGGTTAGTGGGGGCCAGCAGTCCATCCAAAGCCTGGCCTGCCAAGCGTTGACACTGCTCTTTTCTACCTGCTTAGTCTGCTCCTACCAGCCGTTAAAACTACACTAGCTGTCTTCCCACAGTCCTACTGTAACATAAGGTCTTGTTGTTGTAGCCATAGATGGAGTCTTCATGCTCTGTTTTGCTCTGGGTTGGTAGCATCACCTGTGGTTAAGTTGGTGGCCTGACAGTCTCTATTACAGCAACTAGCTTTAAATTGTTTGTTCTTTTAATTTGCTATCTGCTACCTGCAGGGACTGGAATTTTCTGGGAAGGATGTCTGAACCTAGAGGCAGGCTGATTTCTCAGGGGGGAATTACACTATAGAGGTTCAACCAAATTACATCAAGAGAAAATGCATTGTTTAGTTTGCACTTGGGAAAAAAAAACAAACCCAGCCAACAAACCAAGCCTACATGAGAAAATTCTTGCTATTGTTTTGGTGAGAGGGTCTCAAACACCAGTCAGAGGATATGCTTGATACTTAGCAGGCTGCAGCACAAACCATGTTTTTCAGCGCTCATACCACCACCCTCTTCTGATGAGGAAAGCTGGTCTTTGTCCTTGCCACCAGCATCCTCCCCTCCAATCTCCTGCCTCTGACTCCTATTCTCTCCCACAGCCTGCTGCTTTAGCCTCCCTTCCTGACCTTGCTACCCCGGTTGTCTCAGTCAGGAAAAAAGTCTCAGCACCATTGTTTTGCACCCTCATTAAATTCTTCCAGTGCCTTTTGGATATAAATAGGGGCTGGTGGTGAAGGAACTTCAAGTTGTGTCCTGGGGGAGACATGTTCTCACTTACAGATCTGACTGCTTTTTTGATGGAATCTAACGTTGCAAAGCTGGCCCAGTTCTGCTTCATCCAAGCAACCTCCTACTGAATAGCCTTGATAATACGAACCAGGCATATTTTAGTTTTCTAAGGTGCCTGGCCAGAGAAAAGTCAGTCATCCTCAACGGGTGCTTTGTGTTGCAAAACCTGTGTTGGAAAAAACAGTCTTCATGCCCTGCAAGAGTCACAAGCTTCTATATGAAGCTTGGGCCTTTGACGACACACTGCACAGTGAAATGAAAAATGGTCTTTTTCTTAATTTAATATTTATCTATTACATGTCCATACATAAATGATCTTTCACCTAGTGGCCATGGACGCAAAGCTGTTTGCAAACCAACCATATTGGTGACTGGATGGCAGAGAGAGTTGGAAAGCTCAAGGGCACAACTTTGCATTTCTTCAGAGTACAGATGCAATCTTCAGTGAATTAATTCACACTCCAAACTTGTATCCCTTTGAGTGCAGGCAAAGCAGAGGTTTTGCAAGGGAGCAGCGGAAGGTTCCTTACAGGCACTGAGCTGGAAACGCAGATAGCAGTTGGTTCTTGCTGCAAAAGCATGCATGGGAAAGGAAGACACAACCCGGGGCACAGCGGAGCGTGGTCGCCAAAGGCAGGGAGGACCAAGGGGGTTGCGGCCGCCGGGCCGGGCTGGGTGGGCAGAGAGCGGAGGGAGGGGGCAGCGCGGGGCAGACACGGGGGGCAGAGGTAACGGGAGGGTAGCGGACCCGGTGCCGAGGGGCCTCCGCGCTCTGGGGTCTCTGCCGGGCCGTGCGGGGAGGAACCGGGGTCCGTGGCGCCCCGAGAGCGGGGCTCAGCCCCCACAGCCCCTCCCGTGCCGGGGAGCGCCGGCCCCGCCCCGCAGCACGCACCCAATGGGTGCAGGGACTCATCTGCATATTTGCATATTGGCGGGCACTTAAGGGCCGTGGCGGAGGAAGGGCCAGGGTGTGTGGGGTGGCCGTTGTTGGGGTGACGGCGTCTTGTTTGTACCGCTGCGGCGGCAGCGTCTTTTGGTTGTTTTGTGTGTTTTTTTTTTTTTTTTTTTTTTTCCTAAGCAAAACCTAGTGTTTTTTTGTTTGTTTGTTTGTTTTTTTATTTTTTTCTTTTCTTTCTCAACGAAACTTTTCTGCCCCGGCGGAGCGCACGGAGATGGGGACGGAAGTGCTCCTGACAATCGTCTGCTTCTGCCTGAGCTGGGTGCTCGCTCTCGGCTCGGCGGCCGGTGAGTCCCCGGCGCGGGAGGGGTTGGGGGTGCCGGGTGAGCCTGTTGCGCTGGGGGGAGGTGTGTGTGTTCAGTGCCACCGGCATGGCGGGAAAGGGGAGTTTGCAACTTGGATGTGAAGGGCTCTCGCAGCTGCTGGGGATGCTGCGGGACAGTAGAGCGGGGTGGCCTCGGGAGATGCTGGAGGGTGATGCTGAGGGGACCTCTATCCTGTAGGGGCTGACCCGGATCCTGATTCCCTGCCGGGTTGATGCAAGGGCGGTGGGGGTTTGGGATGTGTTTTTTTCCCTAGGAGCAAGCTGGCTTCCAAGAGTCCCTTGCTGGAGGTGGATTGGTGGATTGCAGAGGTAGCATCGTAGCAGGGTCCCTCGGCTCCCTGCAGGGCCAGGGACTTGCCTGTCTCACACGGGAGCCCTGCATCCCATCTTCCCACGGTTCTTGGTCTGAATTGTCTAAGGCAGGGCTGAGTTTCATCTATGTCATGATAGCGTGTTTGGCCTGTAGTTAATGTTTTAATGCAACAGAATCATTTAGGGAATAAGTGAACAAAACACTCTCTCAAGTGTCTGTACATACTTACACTACACCTTCTGTACCTGAGTTTGTACATAGGCATCCTCCAGGCTAGAAGAAGTGGGACATGTGAATGTTTTGACTACTGTACGTTCACTAATGCTCTTTTGGTTAATAACAAATGATTGCAGCTTTAATGAGAAAACCCCTAGTTTTAGGAGCTCATTACTCCTCAAACTTATGTTAGCAGTGCCTTCTCACAGTCTTACTTTCTTACACTAATCTCCCACACACAATGTTTATCTTTAAAAGTCTGCAGCCTTAGAAGAAAGCGTGGCTGTAGCTCTTAAAGCTACCGTCTGGTACTACAATGGAATATGGAACTGCTCCTTTTTCACTGAGGATGCCTGTTATTTCCTTTGTGTACAAGGGCACTGAAGATAAGTATTCAAAAGTAAGACGATGGGATGCTAGGGCACAACCAAAGGAATGTATTCTTTCTTTGAATCCAATCTTTTGCTGTCAGAGGCAATCAGAGCAGTTTTCATCAATGTGTCCAAGTTTTGTGAAGTAAAATAACTTCCCAGAGCAAACTTCCATCGCTGTAGGAATTGATTTGCCACAGGTTTAGTAATGATTATATTGCTTATTAGGAACAGGTTATATGAAAACAGGTTGTGCGATCATCCTGAAGCTAGCCAAGCCTTCAGCCACACACTATTTCCTCCACACCACAGTAAAAGTATACATTGAAACCATGGAAAACACATGATCTAGGCTTCCAGGAATCCTGAGTATTTAACAAACAACATAGAAAAAGATACTCTAGGTGAAGATAATATTGGTGTTCCAGGAAAAGATAAAAACATTACTAGGAATACATTCTGATCTCTATTTTTACCACTGTAAATCCAAAGTCAGGAGTTACAGCAGATTAACACTATTGTATGATGTGAGCTGCAGGCTTTTGTCATGGTTGTGTTTGGGGCAGACCTAACAGGGCAGCTGTGGCATGGCCTTTTCAGAAACAGTGCTCTTCTGAGAAGGTGCAGAGATGAGGCTGTCAGGCATCAGAAGTGTGCTGGTGAATAGCATGAACACTAAAACTCCTAAAAGTTTGCTGGAGTCTCTCATGTGCAGGAAGTACTTGCATACTATGGCTTTCTCATGCATCCTTTCCTCCATACTACTACAAAGTCTGACAGTGATTGCCTTTTATTGTCTGGGCTAATTCCAGATACCCCAGAGGGACTGGTGGATAGCAAGAGCTCTGCTGGATTGAGTTACAAGCCTTCCAGCTGCAGCAGAGTAAGGATCTATTTGGAGAGGGGTGAGCACCCATGTGTGCAGTGTGAGAGCAGCAGTTTGCCCTTGTTTTGCCAGCTGCAGGACTTCAGCTGAGAGGTCCCTGCTCAGCATCTGAACTTGGAAGCAGTTGCTTTTCAGAGTTGTTGCTCTTTCCATCAATGCTGCCTAGGAAGTGAAGAAGGTACTCTCAGTGTTCTGCCCTTAAGGAATACATAAATAAACTTGAAGTTGTAATTCTTTACGGCAAAGTTAAACAATTATCTGTGGGTAGGCTTCATGTAATTGCAGCACACAGTAGTCTGCTTTCAATTTATAAAGCAGATCATATTAGATGACAACAGGTTTTTTTTTTTTTTTGATAAAGGCCCTTTATTTACAGCTGACCAGGAGATTGCTTCAGAACTCATTTAGGAATTCAATATCACTAATTGATGGGTGATCCCAATGCTGGTTATCAGCTGAGGGAAGAGTTATTTCAGTTAACTCCAGCTGGTTATGTAAATGTTTGATGTCATGTACAGATGATTGCTGCTGTGCTTGTGTGTGTGCATGTCTGTGTAGGCTTGAGTTTACAGAGTTTACAGAGTTTATCATCATTCCTGATGATATTTGCACCTAGATAATAATATTTCCATTTCCGTGTGCATAACACTAGGAAATCTTTGTTTATCAAAGATTCCATTTTTAAAACCATAGTTCAGGTGCAGTGATTCTGGCAAGTGTATTGTTATCATATTTGGTATCCCCTGTCTGATCCAAGCAGTTTAACTTCTGATTAATATTCCAGATGCTGTTATTTCCTCAAAGTTCCCATTCTTCACCCAGCTGACTAGGGATAAACAGTTTTCTTCATCAAAATCAGCTGCCAGGTCATCTTTTGAGCTTCTTGTAAATGGAACTTGAAGCTGAATTCTCTCGATTGGTGTATACACTAGTATTAGTACTGGGTCAGAATGCTTAAAGTTAGTGCAATGCCTTCAGAATTGATAGGAGTCCCTAACTGAATGGAGTTTCACAAATTGCAAGTCCAAAGTGTCACAAAGTTAGAATAAGAAAATGAAACTACTGTCCCTCTCCAGTTTCTAAGGTTTTTGTACTTTCTTCCAATTCTACAGTACTCTTTATAACTTAATGTACAGAACTACTATTTTAAAGTAGTGAAATGGAGATTATGAAAGTGTATGTGTAAGAAAAAGCATCAGAAAGTCTGCAGAGCATGAAAATATGGAGTTTGGCAATGCAGTCTGTACACTGTTAGAAAAGCCAGCTTGGGTCTGAAATTGGTGGTTTGATTCTTAATTCTGCTCCCTTTTACTGTTCCCTAAATAATACCTTTTGTAGGTCACCTTGTTAATGGTAAGCACTTACCAGTGGCTAGAAAACTGTATTTTGTAACAGTGCCTTGTATTTGCACTGTGTGCCTGGATGCTTTTGCAACACAGAACACACGCCTTCATACCTCTGCTGAACTAAGCCTGGGAAAGTGTGATTTTTAGTAAAAGCATGGATTTGTTTGCCTATATGTTTTTACCTCCAGGTGGGCTGCTATTCAAGGCCTTGTTTAGAAGTGAACTTGCATTCTTGTCAGCAGAAATGACTTCAGTGTTTTAGTATGGATGCACATAAATTTCTTCCTGTCCAATTTCTATAGCTTTTTTATGTAAAGCCTGATGCCAGTTCAGGTAAATTTCTATCTATCTTTCAGAAACATGTAGAAGACTCCCCATTTCTGGGTTTTCCCTGATTTGTTTGATTTGGCTTAAAGCCAAGTCTAAGTCTTAAAGCTATAACTAACCAGTGGTGAATGTGTGTATTGACTGTCTCTGCATTTCTTTGGCTTTGTGTAGTGCTGTAAGAATGAGACCCAACTGTCAGTTAGGATGTGATTCAAGAAGACTTCTCACTTTAAATTTATGAGGAAGAGGTCTGTAACAAAAGCAATGTATGATGAAGTTTGGTTCTGAATCATATTTTTTAAATAGACTGAGACACTTGAAGATACAAAAGTAAAAGTGGGAAATGTTAGGTTTCTGAAGTGATATGCTTTGTAGCTTCTCTGCTGCAGTTTTAAAGCATGGTACACACCCATTCTATGATTCTGTCAGTATGTGTGGTGAGTGTGCACATACTATTTTGTAGCTCTACTTCTAAAACTTAATCTGTAAAAAGTGGGAGGTGAAGTGGTACTGAGGTATGTGTGTGGCACAACATGAGGTATAGACAAGTTATATTATTCTTTGAGCCATATAGAACTTTCCTGGGCAAATTTTGAGGCTAGCTTCTTAATAAGCACATCATTAAAAAGTCTGTAACAAATTCCACCATACACACTTCCCTCATCCAGAGGGTATTTTGCTGCTGGGAACTGAGCATGTGTGGATATTGGACAGCATGACATGGTTTGTGAGCGTAAAAGGTAATGTCTTATGACTTTCTAATTCCTCATATAACATAGCTAAATGAGCAGAGTGGCCTTCTGCTGTTTCCCTAACTTATGGGCTGCTGCTTTGCAGCTGCTACTTTCCTGATGGTGACTGCATCTTGGTGCTCTTATGTCCTTAAATTTCATCCAAAGATTTTTAGGTGGAAGCACACAAATATTTATGAAGCACTTTGTGCATCTTCAGTGATAGGTGCCAGTGTATTGCCATCTCTGTAAGTCTGGTGAACTTGTCTAAGTGCACCTCTAAGTATGATATACTTAGAAATCTAACTTTTGTTTACTACAAGCTTATTTCCAAAAAAGATGCAGTCTGAAAGTCTATGCAAATTCCAGAATGCGTTTGTAATTCAAAACACAATACAAGTCAGGATCTCAATTTAACTTAGACGTTGAGTGATTAACAGATAAGCTTAATTCAGAAGGGAAATGATATCTAAGTATGAAAGGAAGCACTATTAACTAGTGAGCAGGTGGACTATTCTTGTTACCCTTCCTGTGCTAGGCAGGAATATACATAATTGAAAGTCCTTGCATTATATGCCTTACAGTTGAAAGCTGTTCTTGGACCTTCCAAGGTTTTATTGATTCACTGCTGAGTGAAAAGTTACAGTTGGTATTTAACCAACTGGCTTTTGGGACTTCTTTTTTCTGGCTAAAAAGCGCAAGTCTGAAGATTTGCTTCAGAGAAGGGTTTTGTACTCTCTCCTTGAGAAAAATGAAGTTTTGAATGTGCAAAAAGATAAGGAAAGGGCAACTTCTGAGGAATACAGCATTTGATTAGTTCAGTAGATTTCTGCTTTCAGTCTTAGATGCCTCATAACGTGAATGTTTCTGCTGGTTTGGAGAAAAGTGTTTTTCATAAACTTCTTCCCTTCCTTAAAGGAAAGGGGCCAGGAGACAGGAAGGGGGCCCTCAGTGTAATTATCTGGATTAGCTAGCCATCCTCACGCAGTCAAGGTTAGAACCTAAAGCTGAGCACTTCCTCTGTTCGGTAACAGTTCATGTTACTTCCCTGTGTGTGCTTTGCTTTCAGCAGGTGAGAAGTCCTGATGAACTTGGGCAGTGTTAAGCTGTTGATTGTGGATGGCGGCTGTCTCTTCTGAGGCTTGTTGCCAGCCTGTGTGCTGGTTTTACGCCTCCTGCTACAGGTTAGACCCTGATTTCTGTGGCCATCCAAGCACAGTGGGAACCTCTCAGAATTTATACAGATATCTGAGTCTTGAGTGAGGCTGGGCTGTCAGTGTCCTCATGAATATGGTAGCTTGAATGAGAAGACCAGAAAAAAAAGTTTTAGGGAAAAAAATGAGTAGTTCATTTTTTATCACCTCTAAGTGATACAGCACAATTTAATAGAGAAATACAAATCTACCAGTTATGTTAAACAACCCCTTCTTCAATGGGGAAAAAGAAATCTGGGTTGCGTGCCTGGCATGAGATCCTCACCATGCCCCTTTGCATTTCATGTGGTGGCTTGGAGCTATTTGTTAATGTGTGTTTAGGACTCTGTGAAAGCTTGGAGATCGTGATACCAGGAAACACAACACTGAGCAGCACAGAGTTGGCCTGTGTTCAGCTGCAGTTGGAAAATAGGCAATTAACATTTGCTAAATGCAAGTTGCCAAAGTAGAGCCTGGTTTTCAAAACCCACTGGAGTTTTAAGTCCACAATTAATTACAAAGTGTACTGGATATAAAGGTACTTAAGTGTTGAATTAAATGTAAAGAGGGAAGGCATTTAAATTTCTACCCAGACAAAGGAGGTAAAGAGCATGAAGCCTAAAGTCACTTTTCTGCCTTGATGGGAATAAAAGGAAAACTTACCTTTAGAAGCTGGAGGGAGTTCTCTAAGAAATGATGCTTTTAAGCCATCTCATGCTTTGTTACCACCAGCCAGTACATGAACTTCACACACATGGGCACACACACCCCCCCCCCCCCCCCCGGATTCAAAATTGAGGCAGAGGAAGATTTTTTTCCTTCAGTGTTGCTTATCACATGAGCTGAAAAATAATGCTGCCTTCAAAATAAAGGCTTTTGCTTTGCTAGTTCAGTTTCCTTAATGGGTGTCTGATCTTCTCACCTGTTGTTTTCCTCTTGGTAAGAAGTTAAAACTAGCATTTTGTAAAACAGTGGTGACTTTGCAGCTTACTTTTAATGCACTGCAGCTATGGGGTGCTATAAAGAGGCAGTGATTATTGATGAAGTGATGTGGAAGATACACCACAAAAATATGTAATAGTATGGTAGAACTTGCCGCTTTCCTGCATGTAATGTCTATGACTGTCTTGTGCAGTTTTCTGCACCACTGTGGCAGTTAATGGATTTCCTGTTAATAATGTAATGAGGGAAGTACTGACTAGTAAAAAGAATTCATACCCCTTTGACAGCTGGCCAGTTTCCTGCTGTTTTAGCAGGATCTTGGAGGAGAAGTGATTTCCTCTGATTTTTTTCCCTTTGATTTCCCCTTTATGTGGCTGTAGTGGTGCAAAAAGGATGCTGTAGGAAATGAAGAACATGTGTCCTGTTTCTTGACTGTTCTGACATCTCCAGCATTGTACCTGTGACTTCTGAACTGTTTGTCCTCATACTTCTAAAATGCTACTTTGTTTCCTGTACTCTTGCCTAACAGAAGCTGAGAACAATTTTGTGGGCATCGAGAGCAAGTTTTCCTTACGGACGCCTGCAGAGCCCAGTGAGGATGTCTGCTACCTGATTCCTGGGCAAGTGAACAGCCTGGCACAGTGCAACTTCAACCATACCAGTAAAACCTTTGTCGTGATCCATGGGTGGACGGTAAGAAGAAAGGGGAGGAACCTCCCTTTTAACACTTCTGATAAACTGTGCTAGACATGTCAGCTGAGGAGCCTATACATTAAAGATAATGTTGAGATATCTCTTTTTTTTTTAATTAAAAAAAATGCCAACAGGTGACAGGAATGTATGAAAGTTGGGTCCCAAAGCTGGTGGATGCTCTGTACAAGAGAGAACCTGATTCAAACGTCATTGTGGTGGACTGGCTAGTCCGAGCTCAGCAGCACTACCCAGTGTCAGCTGCATACACTAAGCTGGTGGGAAAGGACGTTGCCACGTTTATTGACTGGATGGAGGTAGGACACGTAGTCATATGTCTCATATATAATGTCCTAGGAGGCAGAATGGCAATGGTGCAGGTGTGTTAATTACCTCATGTTGGGTAGGTAGATGGAGTTAAGTTGTGGTAGACTTTCTTTGCTGGAGTGGTAAAATCCCAGCTTTAATTTTTATTTACTACGCAAGGCATGCATTCCAGAAATTCGCCTTTTGCTCACCTGGAGCTTTATGAGTCTACAATATTTCTGAAGGCTCTGTGAGAGGTAGCTGGGAAAGACAGGTCCCTGTATATTTTGCAGTAGCTGGCCTTGGGAAACAGAAGTCTGCCCTGACTTTGGGGGAAATAGAAGATCCTTGGTGGTCTACCTTGACTTCAGCAAAGCATTTGACACAGTCTCCCACAGCATCCTCACAGCTAAATTGAGGAAGTGTGGACTGGATGATCAGGTAGTGAGGTGGACTGTGAACTGGCTGAAGGAGAGAAGCCAGAGAGTTGTAGTCTATGGGGCTGAGTCTAGTTGGAGGCCTGTAACTAGTGGAGTGCCTCAAGGGTCAGTACTGGGACCAGTATTATTTAATATATTCATCAACGATTTAGATGAGGGAATCGAGTGTACTATCAGCAAGTTTGCTGATGACACTAAGCTGGGAGGAGTGGCTGACACGCCAGAAGGCTGTGCTGCCATCCAGCGAGACCTGGACAGGCTGGAGAGTTGGGCAGGGAGTAACTTGATGAAATATAACAAGGGGAAGTGTAGAGTCCTGCATCTGGGCAGGAACAACCCCAGGTTCCAGTATACGTTGGGGAACGACTGTTAAGAGAGTAGTGTAGGGGAGAGGGACCTGGGGGTCCTAGTGGACGACAGGATGACCATGAGCCAACACTGTGCCCTTGTGGCTAAGAAGGCCAATGGCATCCTGGGGTGTATTAGAAGGGCGGTGGTTAGTAGGTCGAGAGAGGTCCTCCTTCCCCTCTACTCTGCCCTGGTGAGACCCCATCTGGAATATTGTGTCCAGTTCTGGGCCCCTCAGTTCAAGAAGGACAGGGAGCTGCTGGAGAGAGTCCAGCGCAGGGCAACTGAGATGATTAGGGGAGTGGAGCATCTCCCTTATGAGGAAAGACTGAGGGAGCTGGGTCTCTATAGTTTGGAGAAGAGGAGACTGAGGGGTGACCTTATTAGTGTATATAAATATATAAAGGGGGAATGTCATGAGGATGGAGCCAGGCTCTACTCAGTGGCAAACAATGATAGGACAAGGGGTAATGGGTGCAAACTGGAACACAAGAGGTTCCACTTAAACTTGAGAAGGAACTTCTTCTCAGTGAGGGTGACGGAACACTGGAACAGGCTGCCCAGGGAGGTTGTGGAGTCTCCTTCCCTGGAGACATTCAAAGCCCGCCTGGACACATTCCTGTGTAACATTATCTAGGTGTTCCTGCTCCGGCAGGGGGATTGGACTAGATGATCTTTTGAGGTCCCTTCCAATCTCTAGCATACTGTGATACTGTGACTGTGATCCAGGAGGGGAAATACGAGGGGATGGCTGAAAACCTTTAATAAAATACATAGCCCGGTGTTCTGTCCTTCATTCTGCATTCCTCTCTGTTAGAATTTTGCCTCAAGTTAATTATTTTTGTGCCATCCTAGGTCACTTAAGCTACCTGAATTGTATTTGGTGTTCTCTTATTTATAGTTCAAAGAGAAATCCCAATGTTTACAAAACATTTCCCTTTGTGTCTTCTGATGTTTTCCCGTTTGACTTCAAACTTTAAACAAGTCACTGTATTCTGCAGGAGGAATTCAATTATCCTCTCAACAATGTCCACTTGCTGGGGTACAGTCTAGGTGCTCATGCTGCTGGGATTGCTGGGAGCCTGACCAAGAAGAAGGTGAACAGAATTACTGGTAAGAAAACCTGTGGTTGTAGAGTCCTGTCTCTACCGTGCTTTAATGCTACATTCTTCTGGAAAATCTCCAGAATAACTGATGCTTGTTGGCAATAGTTAGGTGATGTGTTCCTACTTTATTGAATCGTCAGGGATGATATTTTTGTAGTGGAAATGGAAAAGGTTCGGAAAAGAATAAGAAAGGTAGTGGGCGAGAAGCCTTGATCTGCTTCTGCACAAGAAATGAGTGAGTAGGCAGATATTTATTGGCCATGAAAAGAGTTTAGGTGCAGAGGACGTGATCAAGCCTGGCCAAATCAATAGCCAATCAATCAATGAAGAAGGTCACAGTACCACAGTATCTCTTGCAGCACAAGAACTTCAGCTGTTTGTCTTCATCTAGGTGGTCATCCCTTGCAGCTGGTAGGAGCTGTTCATAAAGAACAGGAGGTAGATCCTCCTGTAGTGGGTGTAGGACCTGAGGAGCTTTTACCCATGGAATGCTGCAGATGTGCAAAGTTTATACAGGCTCAAAGGGAGACTGGACAGACAATCAGAAGAAATCCATTGTGATTTACTAAAAAAAAAATAATAAATTAATCCTAGGAAGCTCAAGAAATATTCTATGCTGAAAGTAATACTGGCAGAGTATTGGGAAGGAGAAGGAAGTACGCAAATGCTTGTCCTATTCCTGTGCATGCTTGGATCTCCCCTTAGGTGATTTTTTGGAGGCTGAGAAGTGTTGCTAGACAACACAGCATGCATGGCTACTCTGGGCTTGGTTTACAGCCCAGCACCTGCAGAGCTGAGCCCCTAGCAATGATCCCTGTGACAGAGGAAATGCCAGCATTAGCAAATGAGGCTAAGAAAATGACTCATCTGTGGTGTCTTAGCTGCTGAGAGAGCTTGGGAGCAGTGTTCATATGGGAGCCTAGCTGCCTTCCTCATGGCAGCCTTTGTCCTTTCACGTGAGCCTGGCTGTGATCCCAGATCCACAGGAATACATGGGGTGGGCTAGGCAGCAGTTGCGTCAAGAAAGGCTGACTCCTGAGAGGTGGCAGATTAAATCAGAAGGCCGAAGCATGAGTCCCTTTACTTTTCTTTCTCTTGGCTGCATCTTTGTGGCTTTTGCTGAGGCTGCCAAAACACTCAAATACCAGTAGTCATGCATTATGCCCCCATGGTTGCCCTCAGTGCCCAGGGTGAACCTTTCCTAGGAAAGCAGCATCACCTTTGAGCACAGGGAGCAATGGGATTCGGTCCCTGATGTCCTCACAGGAGAGGGGAAAGCAGCTCAGAATGAGAAAAGTTAACCAGGAGTGGGCAGCCCAGTTGCCTGTCCCCAGCTGAAGGCTGCAGGAAAGACATGTGCTTTCAGCCATTTCTCGGTAGTTGTCTGGTTTGGACAGATAGTACTTGTTCACTGGCAGAATAGTTCTGGGTGTTTTTGATGTCAGTGTTGCTGCAGCTTGACAGTTTACCATAATAATCTTCTTCCCCTTAGGCATGTAGGCAGGGAAGCTCTTGTTTATGTTTCCCACTTGTTCCCCTACCAGGAGGTTAGCAGCAAGACATTTTCCACACTTCAGATAGAAATTTTACAATTCTTGACAATAGGAAGACATCGAGACAGTATTTACTAGGTTGTTACTTACATCCATTGGAAATGCTACAGCTGTGAGGAAGTTACCTGGGCTTCTTTACATATTTTACTTACACCTTATTTTTTTAAACAGTGACAGCATTTCAAGGTATTTTATTTGATTCTGCTATATAAATGAATGGTACTAAGACAATCCAACTGTAATGTCTAGAGTTGGCACCAACACCATATGCAATAATCCAACCCAATGTGGTAGCTGAGTTTAGCATTTGCTATCACTGTCAGTGTCTTTGGCAGACAAACTCAGTTTTTCTTTGTGGTTTGCCTCAAAGGGCTGGATCCAGCTGGTCCTACCTTTGAGTATGCTGATGCTGTCACACGCCTCTCCCCGGATGATGCTGACTTTGTGGATGTCCTACACACCTACACTCGAGGCTCTCCAGACCGGAGCATTGGAATCCAGAAGCCTGTTGGACACATTGATATTTATCCTAATGGTGGAGGTTTCCAGCCAGGTTGCAACTTCGGAGAAGCACTCCGTCTGATTGCTGAAAAAGGCTTGGCAGGTGAGGCTGCTCTGAAACAAAAAGCACAACATCCAAAGGGAGAACTTATGTAGCCTGTAGTTTTCTGGGAAGCAAAGATCTTTGAGAGGTGCAGAAACTTGTTCTTTTAAGTGGTTTTAAAAGTCACCTTATAAAGCCCACCTTTGGCGTAGTGTACTGCACCTGCCTACAGTGTTGCTAAAGGGTCTATATTGTTACATGCATGTGTGCATGTGTATTACACATTTTTGTTCTTTCAAGATATGGATCAGCTGGTGAAATGCTCCCATGAACGATCCATCCACCTCTTCATTGACTCCCTCCTCTATGAAGAAAAGCCCAGCATGGCCTATCGCTGCAACACAAAGGAGGCCTTTGAGAAGGGTCTGTGCCTGAGCTGCCGGAAGAACCGCTGCAACAATTTGGGTTATAAGGTTAACAGAGTGAGAACAAAGAGAAATACTAAAATGTACTTGAAGACCCGTGCTCAGATGCCCTATAAAGGTAGGACCTACTTGCTTATTATTGAGCAAGACCGATGTCTTTGCTCTGCTGTGTGTCTGGGTGAGTGGTGCCTGTGGTGAGCAGGGGTGAAATTTACCTGCAATTTGGCATTGAGTACAAGCTAAAGTGCAATCTCAGGAGAACAGTGCCATCTTACCTAAGGTATGGAGGTGGGGGGTGAAATACGATGAGGAAGGTATTTTGTAAAAGTAGCAAAACTGAAATTCTCTGTGGCCAGATCACTTGGAACAACTGAGGAGTTGTCCAGGGTTGTTTTCTTCAGTATGTTTTCATCTAAATGACTTTTTTTCCTACTGCTGGGAAATTAATCAGCAGAGCTCAGTGTGATGAGCAACTTCTTTAACGATGTGTAACTGTCAGGCCTTCACAGTGCCTTTGCTACAGGACCGGCAACAGCCCTTGTTAAAATACCACAGTGTTTCTTGATTCCTGTTGTCACAGCGGCCTGAGAAGGACACTGCAAGAAAAAGCTGGAAGGCTTTCTGCTAGGAAAATAGCTTCTGAGTTGGGTTTTGGTACTTCCCGTTTTTTTTTGTTTCCCCTCCCTAACATTGTGCCACATGGTATGCTCACTGTGTGCATTCCATGGTGGACCAGCAACCAGAGGGCACATTCCTTCAACATTAGAACAGCTGCAAGAATAGTGTTTTGTTGGCATTTGGTGCTTAATGTGCAGTTGATTTTTATTTTTTCTCCACTGAGGCTCCTGTACAAGGAAAGCCCAACTCTCTTGTTTTCAAGTCAGAGATGGCAAGTCTTACATCTTCATTACAGCTTTGAAGGAGATACTGCAGACTCCGGGTTACTACAGTGGCAGAAAACTTAAATGCGGAATTTAGTTGCAAGAACTGAAAAGGTTCTTTACCTTCTCACAAAAATAGTTCCCAGGATGCCTGCAGGGATCTGAACTCCTCAGTTTAGTGATGTTGGCATATTCCAGCCTAGGATTTGCATGGGGATTTTGAGTGGTTATGTCATCAGCAGCCTCTTTGGAGATTACATTCTTACTTAATGGCCTCTTGTGTTCTTCCAGTCTTTCATTACCAGGTCAAGATCCATTTCTTTGGAAAGACTAATATGACCAAGACAAACCAGCCGTTCCTGATCTCTCTCTATGGCACTCTAGATGAGAGTGAGAACATTGCTTTCACACTGTGAGTAACTATAGAAACAACTGCAACGTACTATTGAGTCTACCTATATCTGTTAAAGCCCCTGCTGAAAAATTCATTCTAGCTCCAGCTACAGAAATCATTCAGGGTCCCGGAAAATGCCCTTGTCCTTGATCAAGGGAATATATTCAGTGCTGAAGATAATGTGCTAAGCTCTGTAGGAGCTGTTCTTGATAAGAGATCTGAAATAAGGAAATGTAAAGTCTGGCCTGTGCCTAAGCCTAATAAGGATTTTTCTGGTGTGGCAGATTTCTTGTTGTCTATGTTTTTCAGTATCTTCATGACATGTTCCAGCTGTGTTAAAGCTCATTAAAAGCCTGCAACCTGGAGTTAATTTTCTGATGGGCCTGAAGGCCTCAGTGTAGAAGCTGAGAGACACATGGGATTTGCTCCCATAACTGCAAATAAGCAGAAGTCTGTGCTTATAATCCTGCACATGGGCTGACAGTGAATGGGGCTGGAAGGCACTGAAGTCTTGTTCTCTAATCTGTGGAACCTAAACTGTTCCTGGCTGGTGCTTCTCTAGGAGCCACCAGCACTGGAAAAGACCCCCCTTGCCTGGCAGTCTGCCCCAGGACTTTACCAACCTTGCTGCAGAATGCTTTTCCTACAAAGCTACAAAATCTTAGTGTTTTTTTTTTCCTTATTCTATCCATCAGAGCTATGGAGAAGGTTGTTCTCTTGCCTGAAATGAAGTTGCGGTTCTGTTTTTCCTTAATTTTCTTTATCTAACACTTCCTTTTTTTTTTTCTTTTTTGTGTGTGTTTTTTTCTTTGTTTTTGTTTTGCCTTTTTTGTTTGTTTTGTTTTGTTTTTTTTTCCTTATTCCTCTCCCTGCAGGCCTGAAGTCTCCTCAAACAAGACATCCTCCTTCCTGATTTACACAGAAGTGGACATTGGTGACCTGCTTATGCTGAAGCTGCAGTGGGAGAAAGATACCTTCTTCAGCTGGTCAAACTGGTGGTCCTCTTTTACATTTGACATCCAAAGAGTCAGAGTGAAGTCAGGAGAAACTCAGAAAAAGTAACTTATTTTGATTGTTATAAGCTATATTAGTTTTAATTGACAGTGTTTCCTGATTCCTTGTTTCACAGGAAACACTGTCAATTAGGTAATTAGTTATACTATGCAGGAGAGAGCTCAGTGAACCGTCATCTTGGATTGTATTTGCAGTTCTCCTTTGTCTTGCTGGATGTTTACATAGGTTTTCTTGTGAGGAGTGTGCTTAGAAAGAGATTTCTAGAAACACTTCAAAAAGTGCATTTGCACAAGAAACCATTGCTTTAAGCTGGATTTTCTTAAAGGTTGAATATCTAAATGGTGGGTGAGGACATGAAAGACATGACTGTTGCAAGACACCACTAATTTGTGAATGCTAAAATGGAAAAGTCTGAACCAACTACTTTGACTTGATTTTTTTATATACTTGTATTCAGGAGACATGAGATCTGTTAGAAGAAAATGGACCCAGAACAGAGTATGCATGTCTTGTGTACAGTACTGTGAATAATGTGTTCCTCCTTTGAATAAACAAGGCAGTCACTTGATCAAAGAAGAGTTATCAGAGCTGAACAAATATAGGGGTGGGGAAAGTACTGATAAATAGGAAAGCAGCTGCTCAGGTTTGCTGGAATTGGCAACCTACTTAGTTTGCAAACATTTGAGGGAGTGAGGCCTTCTTCCAGGGTAATTCACCTGATGAAAAGTCACACAAGGACTGGTGTAAATAAAGATCCAATAGACCTTGAGATATAGAGCTTGTGGTTTTGGAACTGTACGAAGACTTTATACAAAGGACAATGAAAGTTATAGCGACAGGTTAAGGTCCATGAGTAATGCATTTGCTAGTTTTTTCTTGCACAGTGTTTCTTTTGTCACAGAATTCTCTTTTAAAAAGAATTTTCTCACAGGATTGTAAAATATAAATATAAAAACATCCCACATAAAGACAGTTTCCAAGTACCAGTCTTGTTTGTATTGTTAAAAAGAGGTACCTGGCTCAGCCATGTGATTGTCCCATATTTATTGCACAGGGTGGTGTTTTGCTCTCGAGATGGCACCTCACAACTCGGTATGGGAGGACAGGCAGCAATTTTTGTGAAATGCTTGGAGCAGCCCGTCAAACGGAAGAGAGGAGGGTATGTGTGATCTCTACTGGCTTTGGGCTGGGGGAAGCTTCAGTGATAGCTCAATATCTTGAGTGGATAGCTTGAGTGGAGGATCTAATGACTTCCTCATTTAGTTGACTTGTGCACTAGTCTTCTGAAGGCTTCAGAAGCGTCACAACTTGGACTAATTTGAGGTTTGCTTATGGTAGCTTTAGCAGTTTAGAATCCCCTAATTTGGTTTGCTGCTAACCATCTCCTGATGTGGCTTTTACCGTGTCTGAAAAGCAAGTACAAGTCACTACCTCTCACATTCACATGTGGCCAAGTATAAAATGTTAGAGAGGGTGTACAGACAAGGCAAAAATACAGAGAGGAAAGCATGCCTCTATCTAAAGATGCCACACACTTACCCTTGATTGAAGAATGCCCAAACATCCATACTGAGTCAGTCCAGAACCCTCCCTCCTCACTGGCCAGCAGCAGATGTGGAGGCTGGCACAGAAACTGAGCAGCCATGCACAGGTTCTCTCCTGGCACACTGCTTTCTGCTGGCGACTGTCAGATCAGTGACTTCCTGAGATTTGCATCTGTGATTTGGATCAGAGATTGAGCCTGCATTTAATAGACCTTGGTGCACTTAAATTTTTTTTGATCAATAATTTTTCTGACCCAGAGTAAACTTTGAAGTGTGGGGCCAACTTTTTTTGGACTTTATCCACCAAAGTTTAAGCTGGAGAATTGGTTATATTTATTTTAGTGCAACTGCTGTGTGTGAAAGGTCTCATGGGGGCACTTCTACACTATGAGCTGCTTCTGCATAAAAAGGCACTGACCTTCTCTTCAGGGCAATGACCTGGAAGGCCTTGAGAGCTCTGTGTATCTGATGTGTAGAATCAAGCAGTAGCCAGGAAAAGCTCAAGCACGTAATTTATTATCCTGTTAAGTAGGCTTTTCTTTTTAATGTAAAGTCTCAAAAATAAGACAAAAAGGAGCAAGTATTTTACATGTTCCTCTTCACCTTCTTCTTTTTTTTTTTTTTTTTTTCCCCACAGTGCCAAGCAGGCATCTAAAGAAAATTCTGCTCATGAATCTGATTAAGTGACAAGAGTGAAGATTTTCCACACTGGGGAGGAGGAGAGTCTGTTCATCCTTGTGGACTGGATGTTCAGAACCAAATATATAGAAATATTTATCCGCTGCTGGCTTTTTGCCTGCTATTCCTAGCTATCTTAGGAGACTTCTTGTAAGGAAGTCTCAGCATACAAAGTTACTAACCATAAAGATACATTATCCAGCTAGTTAAAATGAAATCTGCAAAGCAACTTGCCAAAGGCTTTAGTTCGGGGAAGGAATAATTTTGCTTAATCATGGTGCCTTGTGACAAGGTTTCTTGACATCAAATCCTCTATAGCAATTTTCTAGTATTTATTGGAAAGAAATGAAACCCTGTATCTGGCTTTTCTTTCTTTTCAGGAGTCTTCTGAAACTGGACATTTTTTTCTTTCTGGTTTGGCCAACTGAATTTTCAGACAGTTCAGTGGCTACAGTTCATTGTCTTCAAGTGTGTGTTTAGCAAATGAGTAGGTTTTTCATGTGAAAAAACACCTTTGTATGTGTTACTAAAAGGAGTCAGGAACTGACTTAATATGGGGATGAATTTTCTAGTCTGTAGTTGTGAATGTGTTTTACTGGGGGTAGATGCCAGTGCTGCTTAGCAATAGGTATGGTTTGTTAAGCTATATACTTCTGTGCGGCTTACCCTGAAATAAATAGCAGTTGTAGGAGAAGACAGCAATACCAGTGTCCTATGCAGATATTCAAATTCTCATCTGTTCTTTCATTCCTTAAAAAAAGAAACCATCTATCCTCCAATACTGTACGAATAAAGAACTGCAAAGGAATTGAGCTACCAGAAACTGCAGGAAACACTTCACCACCACCACCACTTGCTTGCATCTTGTATGCCTAAACTGTCAGTTTCTCTGCTCTTTGACTGCAAATGTCAGTCATGCAGCTGAGTGGCTGCTGTGTGCAGGTCAAGTGAATCCAGTTGACAGGTGACAAGCATGCTCATGCTTCCCTGCAGTGGAGTCGTGACTGCCATTGACCCACCTTGCTTTGTCACTTGGCTGTGACACAGCACTAAATCCTAGGAGCTATTTGGTTTTCTGATGTGAGGTGAAATTCATCAAGGAGCAGGAGCTGTGACAGTTAAAAGGAGCCTGATGGTGTGATGCACAAGAATGAATGTTCTGAAAAACACTTGAATTAGACATGCTGCAAGTTGCCAAAAATAGATATATTGAAGGCATTCTGCTTCCCCCTTTTAAGTAACACATAACTTTTCTAGTGCTCTGAGAGGTTCAGTAGCCCTCTTTTAGCTTTCTGGAAGATAAACAAAATACTGGGGAGGCAGAAGGGTTTGAAGGTAGACACTTATAGAAGAGTAATGTGAGCTATTAGTGCTGGTTTTTGTAGTCTGTTCCTGCATATGCAAGACACTGTGAAGGTGGCAATTTCTCTAATATCATCCCATCTTGAAATCAAAACAAACGTGTATGCATTTATGTGCAGTTTGGTTTTTTTTTTTTTTCCTCCAGCTCTGGCTGCTAATACATTTGGGGATAAAAGTCTTGAGCAGTGCAATATGTTGGAATATTAATAACTTTGAAATTGCTCACATTGGATTTTCTAACCCTTAAACTACAGCAGGGATGTGATGAGTCAGTAAGAGTGGGGTTGAGTATTAGCCACTGCATTTGAGACCTCTAAAAATAAATATAATGATATATTCCCTATAGACTTCACATTTTGTTGCAATTTTCTCTTAAGGGTTAAGTTTTATGGAAATAGAGTGTCTGAACTGGTGTGCTCTTAAACAAACAAAAGCCAACAAAAACACATATAGAACTTGGATACAAAACAGTGAAGGTTCTTGTACATGAGGAGACATGATTTAGCTTTGGATGTTATTTATTAGCTGTAAATAAGATATTTATGTGTGTAAAGGTAGTTTGTATATATTGCTGAAGTTGCTGACAAGTCTTGACATTATTACAGTTGTGTGGTATTAATCATGTATATAGCTTTCAGAGATTTTTATCAGCAAGCCACTTATGCTGCATGGTTTCCTACGTGGTTGATATACTTTAGAAAAAACAAAAAGAAAAAAGAAAGCTCCTCAGTTTTCTATGGAATGGAAACCTATGGATTTAATAAAATTCTGAAACTGATGCCAAAGTCAAATCTGCTCTATATCTTTCATGTGAATGAAGGCTGCAGCCTTTTATTTGGATTCTGGGGTGAAAAGATGGGGAAAAGCTCTTTTCTTTTTTTTTTTTTTTTTAAGAAAAAAGGGCATTTTTTTTTTTCCATTTATTTCTGGGAAACATGAAAGTCATGTAACAAGGAATCGCTGTGTCCCAGCAAGTATCCCTGTCAAGGGAGAAGTAGCTGATCAGCTGCAGTTTGTGGTTTTCATGTTTTGTGCCCTTTTTAGAACAGCCTGTACTTGAAAAGGCTCATTTCCTCTTTTTTTGGCAAATGTCAGAACTAAGCTGCTGCTCCTTGTTGTAGCAAAACAGCGATGGTCTGACCCTGTGGGTACAGGAGGCAAGCGCTGATCCCCTGCTCCCACTTAAGGGAGTAATAATGGAAACAACCACTTTGACCCACAGCTGGACGCAGGAGTGGCTGTCACAACAGTTTGCTCTGTGTGATACACAGCAAGACTCTACAAAGGCTCTTGGAAAAGGAATGCTAGGATTAAGGAGAGTTGTAGTGACATGCATGTGGGGGACAGCATTAGGAGACTCTGCTTCCAGCACTTGATCAAAAGGACTGATCTTTGTCAGGAGCAAAGCTTCACTCTTTGTGAAAGCACAAGGAAAACAGATGGGCACAAAGACAGGATGAATGGAGGAAAGGAGAGGAATGAGGGAATAAAAAGGGTAAGGAGTACCCTGGGCCAATAAATGGGAGGGGGGAATCCAGGGGAGGACCCCAATCTGCAGAATGGGAATGCATGGCAATGCTGGCAGCAGGTGTTCTAAGGACACTGCTGCCTTCCCTGTGTCAGTGGCTGGGTTGAGAGACTGGAAGGACTCCTACAATTGTACAAGACAAAGACTGTGACCACATTTCCTAAAAGCATTGTGATATTACTAGTCTTTTAAAGCCATAGCATCTTCACTACACCAAACACATTGTTAGGTAAAGCAGACAAATAGTTTTTGGAGCACGGACAAGAACCTGGGTCTCCCATGGGAGCCTTCAGAGCCACCCCAGGCTCCATCACTCTTCCATCTTTCCCTGCAATGCCCAGCCACATCAGGAAATGTGTCCCTGCTCACCCTGTCAGCTGTCTCTGGGAGGACTATAGGGGAGATAGACTGTCCTATGGCCAACTGATGTCTTGAACAAGCAGGAAGAGCCATGCTTGGCTGAAAAGAAAGGGTGAAAAAAAGCACCCCAGCCAATGTACCTGCAAGAGAAGGTAGTACTGGCTTACTGGCTTGAGTACCTATATTTTATTCCTATATGTATTTCATTCTGAGAAATTTTTGGAACTAGCAGTGAATGTGCTGGCTGTAGGTGTCTTCATACTCAATTAGTAGTTTGGTGGTTAGCTGACTTGATTCCCCTGTTGAGGCACCATATTTTCATAGGTGCCTGAAATATGCCACCTGGTTTCACATCATCAGGGGCCACACACTTTAAATATTAGCTTATCATCTGAAGTCCAAGATAAGTTTCTGTGCAAAAGCTGGGAAAACTTAGTTGATTCAGCAGTGAAAACTACTCTTGCCACGTCTGTGGTGTGGGTTGTTGATTTCCATGAGCCTTGAAATCATGAAGGCCTGTATAAATACCACATCTGTGTATCAATCATTTTTTTGCCTTACAAACTGTGATGACTAGCTATAGAAAATGCTTTTCTCCTTTCAGATACAGTTGTGTGATTGCTTTTTTTTGTGCGTTGTGAACAAAATATCAGAAGCTCGCTGCTTTGGACGAGCAAGACATTGCAAATGTTTCTAAAGCTGGTCAAAAGCAGCTATTACAAACAAATTTTCAGTAAAAGGGGAGAATTAAAGTACCCGTAGTATTTTCCTTTTTGTTTACAGCTGTCAGTGCAGCGCTGTCCATATTCTGACCCTGTCAATCCAAACACAGCCACATAAGGATTCTCAGGCGCAAGGGGAGCAATCTAACTGCCACTAAGTCATCATTCAGGAAAGAAACTTTCAGCTTCTCTTGCTGCCTCTTTCCAGAAAAATCTTCTAGTCAAATGTCCTTTGCAGGAGGTCTGGAAAGTCACCAGTTTACACATAAACAAAAAAAGGGATTAGCATTCTCCAGTGATTGAAGGAGAACAAGGAAATGAGAAGAGGAAGGGAAGGGAAGGGAACAGCTTGGCAGAACATCCCATGTAGAGCTTGTCTCAACAATGCCTTTATATCCGTGTGTGGTGCTATCTCTGCTCACAATGCTCAGGATGCTTCCCTGAATCATTTCAAGTTAGTTCAGCCAGAACAATGCATCCACATCAGAAGACCACTTTGGGTGTAGCAGGTGTTACTGTGTGGGTGCAGCATATGTCCAATGATGTAATTACGCAACCATTCATGTCAGATAAACACCTTGTTCTTCATTGTAGCCCCTTCCTGTGGGAAGTAACCTGATATCATTAGTTTCGCTCCTCGCCAATGACTCTGGAGAGTCTCTGTTACTGTTCATCACCCCACCATGTCGAACCACTTGGCGAGCAGTGGAAAAGCCTGGCTGGCCATGTGTCTGTCCTCAAAAGCACCAGGAAGTGAGGACACGTCTCACATAGCTCCACCTACCAAAGGCTTTTTTACCCACAATTAGCTTTAAACCTGGAATCTTCCAAGTGGTGAAACAAGGACACTCCCAGATAGAGAGGACTGCCAGTGCCAGCTTCAATTCTTCCTATGAACAGGCGCTCCATGGAAATTAGAAGCAGTAGGAACAGATTCCCATGCTAGAACAGGTTGAAAAGATGCTAAGAATAGCCACACTTTTTCAAAAGAAGCATTCAAAATAAGACTTCAAAAGGTTTCTGTGCCAGGTCCTCAGGCTTTGATGAGGCACTTGCTTCCTTCATGTGCTCCTGCATTCAGGAGTTTTTGGGGTTTCCTCCCACAGCCTGAAAGGCTGCTATATAAGTATTTTTTAACCCTTGCAAGGATTAAAAGCATCTCATATGGCTGACTCTGGATGTGAGGAGAGGGCTACCAGTCTTGTGCTCCTGGTGAAAAAAACAGCTCTTCCCTCACAGTGTGAGGCCTAGTAAAAGCCCCTTGCAGGCTGGGAAAAGTCTTTTTGTTGCCAGTGTGGGCTCTTGAGTGCTTTCATAGGAGCTGGCATGGTACCCCCACTTTTAAAATGAAAGCACAGCTAAAGCTTTCTTGCCTTTGTTCGTCTTACTCATCGTTACCAAACTGAGAGCAATACAATGTCAGGTCATGATCTGCTCAAGCACTAGGTTAAGTACGAGGTCTGGATGACTTCTCACAAATATTCCCAGCACCTCTTGGCCAGTACAGACTTGCTTATCTATGGGATGCCAGAACAAAGAGCTTAATTGCAGTGATGTAAATAGCACCGAATTAGAATTAGAAATAAAAAGAGAGAAAGAGAGAGAAACACATGGTACTAATAACTCACTTAACATCTAAGGGCTCCTGTAGGAGAGTATAAGACTAAAACAATCCCATGCAAAACCTTTTGTTTCCTTTGCCCTTCTTGCTGGCAGGCCAGACATTCTAATGGGCAGTGAGAGCCATCTCAGGGGTGCTGTCATGTAACTTCAGCTCACTGTACTGCGTGACATGTTACCCCCATGTCTTATGTGGTGGGAGCAGGCTCCTGTTGCTTTGAAGGTAGGCATTGTCATACTGATTCTTAAATTCCTTACTGCTGCCAAGCTGCAAAATGGGAAATAGCATAGCTACAGCAGGTGGTTTCTTGATCTGTATGAGGGAGGTTCAACAGCCAGGCAGCTTGACAGAAGTCTAAATTTTGGGGTATTATGTTACATGCCATCATGGTTTTGTAAAACCAAAATCAAACCAAGCCAAAAAGCAAAAAGAAGGAGCAGAAAAGTCTAAGAAGAGACAAGGAGGATGAGGAGATCTTTGGTATTGCAGCAGGTTGTACAGTACTGTACTATAGTGAAGTCAGCCATACCAAGACTAGCGCAATAAAGCTGTTAACTATTCCCCTGATGTCAGGAGAACATGTATGTAAATTCAAGAAAATGAAAAGTGTGTACCTGAGGCTAGGTGTACACTTGAAGTGCTTTACACTGGTTGATAACTGTTAAAAATGTTTAGTTCATAACAAACCGATCCTAAAGAAAAGTGTGTAAAGACCCAATATAGAAAGATCACCCAAATTACAGAATGAAGAACAAGATATAAATAAAGGTTACAATGTAGAAACACAGCAAGAATGAATGAAGAGGAAGAGGAAAAGCAAGGAAGAAGAGATTTGCCTTACTAAATTATACCACCCGGAACACCCACCCACATATTCTTGAGTGTAATTGAACTATTATTTATGTATGACTAATTTTTCCCCCTTTTTAAATATATTTATAACCCAGACACAAAATTAAACCAGAATTTCCTGTTTCTCTTGGCAAAATTTTGCCCTTTGCTTGCAAGGTTTTTCAGTACAAGAATAAAAAGTATATCTTAATCACCCTGATTTTATTTCACAGGTCTTAGATAGGTGACACAGGCTAGGCTCAGTGCAGCAGAAAGACCGCTTCAAGCATCAGTTTTCTCTTTATATCCTGAGCAAAGAGCAGTGATGGAGTAAGCAAATGCCTACACAATAGCCATTCAAGAAATGAAAGATACCTGGGTTTTTTGTTGTTTTTTTTTTTTTAAAGTTTTATTTATAGAGCTGTGTTTATGCACCTCGTTATAGTTCTTTGTTTATCTTTTAACATCAGTGAGTTTAAAATCCTTGAGGAGAAATCAGGAAAATGATGGGGAACATTCTTTTGGCAGTAAATTTACTCCCTTGTTTAGTGCATGTAGATTTAAATTTGGATCATAAAAGGAGTGGTGTTTTTGTGGCTGGATATTTTTAAATGGAAGGCTTAAGTACCCAATCACATTCAAAACTGGGTGTTACTTTTCCCCCTCTTCAATTCATGGAATCATAGAATCTAGGTTGGAAAAAACCTTTAAGATCA